AAAATGGTGTTAATTGGATGTTTTTTTCCCTCTTAAATACAATTGTCACTTGATAGCTACTCCATATATGTTATTTTTTATACTAAAATGTATTAATGATGCTACTAATCTGGCACATTCTGCAGATTTTTAATTTAATCATTTAAGCCTGTTAGAAATAAATAAATCAATTCATTTTTTTTAAATAAGAAAACAAACATTGTATTTCCAAAATGCAGTTGGTTACTTGATAATTTATAGCAAACTGTGGATCTGCAGCTGAAAAAAAAAAATACTTCTGGTATTAACACGAGAAAAGCTCAGCGCCTTCTTCTTGACATGACATCTATACTGATCTGTTTATTTTATCGTAAGTGGAAAATGTATTTAGTTTAGTTTAATTACTACTCTAGATTTTTTTTCATCAAATAGTTTGGAATCTCTCCAGTTAACAATTATTTGATTAGCTGACAATTATTTCAATACCCAATTAGTCATGAAACAATTAATCCAGTTAGATTTTTAGCCCTAAAATATATTTACTAACATTAAACATTTAAATGTATTAAATGAGCAAAAACAAGGGAAATTTGTAAGTGGCCAAATACTCAATTTATAACGCAAACAAAACCACCTGCTACCCTCGATGTGTTTATTTAGGATGTTTTTCAAATTCCAAAGATGTTTTCTGTGCAACTTCTGCATCACACGCTACTTTCTTTGAAAATCATTTCTATAGCTATCATGAACTCTAACCTATACTGGTTTGCTCCATCATTCATGCGGCTGCAGGATAGCCTGTGCCATTGTAATCATTCCAGTTAAATCCAGAAGGAAGAAGAATATCCAATTGCTATGCAGTCTGAAAGAGAGTAGTTGGGATAAGCCAAAACAGTAAGACTTCAATCTGCATAAGATTATACTACTTGTATCTATTTAACATGACACAAGTAGAATTCACTGATTACTCATTGTGCAAGTGATAAGCACACAAAAAAAATCAAGTAGCAAATTAAACAAATCTGTACCAGTTAAGAAGCTAAGGACGAACATTGTCATAGTTTAGCTTTATCATCATTGCAGTATCAAGCATAGCTTGGCGGTCATCAAAGTTAAACTCTTCTTGCCCGTCACTTTAAAACTCAAGTTAAAATTGTTCATGTCTCTTGCTCGTTCTGTTTACAAATGAGCTTGGTTCTTGTCTCTTGTGACATAATTGACCCAAATGCACAATAAGCAGAATTATCTACTTTTTTCATCAAAGGTATTTTTACCAACCTTTTATTTCTTGTAATTCTGCAGTAGATATTGATACTTTATTAGCTAGATGCGTTTAATTTAAGGTATACATTTTATTCTAAAAGTACAACAGCAGAGATAAGCTTTAAAAATAACTGCACTTTTCCAATATCCGTCTGAGATTGCAATCAGATCAGCAATTTGCCAGCTTGAAAATTTCCAGGTTAAAGGTCTTCAAAGGCAGAGAAACTGTTTCTTCTAATTAGCACATTTCAACATCCTGTCCTGCCTCATTCCTTGCTAATCTGTTGGCCTCTTTTGTTGACAGTGCAGTAGTAACTGAGTGGAGCAGAGCATGGTGAGGCAGGACTCATTTTACACTGTAACAGTCATTACCGGGTGGAGACGGCTGTGTGGGCTGGCCTGCTTGGGTCCTCACCATTTGAAAGCCAGAGAATATAGCGGCTGGACTGGGTGGACAGACGGTGTGCACCATGGGAAATGAGCATATGGGCGTATTCCAGATGGTCTTCACTGGTTTAACAACCAGTACACCTACTTTGACCTACCTTGTATGGTAAATGCTGACATAACATGATTCTGTGGATTTAACATGACTTTTGACTTATGCCTTTTGAAAGAATAGAAACCCTACTCCAAGAGTACTTTTTAGATTAAAGAAAAAGTAAACAGTATATATTGTTAGTAGGAGACAGTATCTCTTGTCCAGGATAAAGAAAGGGGTTAAGACAAATTGACAGTTCATTATCAACAGAGAAAAGTTCAGGGACCACATTATCACTTACAGAACTCACACACATACGAGAACATTATGGGTCAGGGTTCTTCTTTTTTGCATGGATAAAGAAATTTCTAGAAACAATAACATTTTAGAAAGGACAAGTAGGCCTCCAAAGATTATTATTTTTGAAAATTCATTTACATGTGAAGAAGGCCTAAAAACCTGGAAGTTAAGGTGCATTTAACTATTAAAGCTTGGGTATGTACTTTTAATATATATGTATTATAAAATATATGTATATATTTTATTTGTTAAAACTGTCACCATGCCGTGACTTTATAGTTCTGTAATTAGCATTGTGGGAAGTCAGAGGAACTTGATTTTTTTTTCACAGATTATCTGTATCTTATACTGCCATGACATAGTGACTGCCATGACATAGTGACAGTTTTATTTATATATATATATACACATACACCAGCTTTAGTCTGTTGCAATTTGAGTGTGTAAAAGCAGGTTATGTAGGGCCATCCTGCCGCCTTCCACTTTTTTCCTGTAACCGGCAGTGATAAACTCATCCCTCACGCCGGCAAGCCAGAAAGGAGCGGACCCCTAGCCTGCCTGGCCAACAAGCAAAGCCGCATTTCCTCTCCCACACCGCAGCAAACCCCACCTCTCCCGGACGAGACGTAATACCATCTCTCTCCATTGGTCCGCTCCAGCCGTCTGTCAGCGTTTATTCCTGATTCACTGATTTGACGCTGACTGACGTGGGCGGGCTCCTCTTAGAAAATTATAAGGTCATTTGAATTACGCCTGTTTGCGAGCTCACCCGTTACAATGAATCGAAGGATAATATAAATTATTGTGATCCCGATGATGATCGTGGGGTCAAAGTCGACGCGCATCGCTCGGGCATTTTCTCAGCAGCAGCAGCGGGAGGTCGTTGCGGGGTTGACGACAGGAGGAGAGCCCAGTGCGAGCGTCTGCCTGGGTGCGTTTCTCTGAATCTATCTAGCCGGAGGGAGCGACCAGGCTGGCCTGTAAGCCGATCAAGGTGGAATCCCCCACAACGAGTTTCACGTTCGGAGCGCTGAGCACCTACATGCTGTAGCAGTGAGAGGAAGGGGGCAAGGTACGTAAAAAAAAAAAAAAATCTCATCCCTGTACCACAACTAAGGGCTTGGTGTGCGCCAACTACGCGGGTTGGTGGTCAGGTTTTTATTCCCTGGGAGAACGGAAAATAGTCCTGACACTTTCTCGGCATTATGAGCGATTAACCCACTGATATGAATCAAAGGGTTCACTCTGATCTGTAATTTCAGGCAGCTTTAGATCCTTAAAAGGTAAATTATGCATATGGAGACCGCATGCCTGTTCATCACGAAAGATACAGCTGCTGCTGTCGTGCTGTCCATCCGCTTCCTTAAGTCGAGGCGCACACGTAACGCAGCGCATCCTGCCTGTGTAGAAAAGCCCGTTAGCACGATGAGCCGCATCATATCACAACACAATAAACACAAACCGACCGGCTCACAAATGAAGGCCGTATCTGAGGCGCACATGGCATCTGGTTAGAGAGGTTACCAGCAGTGGGCTGAGCCTTCCTCTCCGTACCAGAGCCCCCACCGCAATATGATGCTCCGCGCCTTTAAATTTCCGGGTTCAGCAACGGCGGATGATGAAGCTTTTGTCTCTGTCCGTCATGTGGCTGCTTCTACCTTTCTGTCATTTGTGATTTTGAATCATTCTCAAATCCCATTCGTTATTAATAGCGAAGTAAAATTAGGGTATGACACGGGAGCTTGTTTCGGTTTTATATGTCGGTTTAGCGATGAAAATCACAATCGCAGCCACATGTTGGAAGCAGAGCAAAAGAACACAATCACAATTTTGAAGCAAGAAAGCAAGCTATCCCTGAATGTACGGTCTTCTTTTAGGGTGGTTAAGAGACGAGACTAGGGCTGGCAAATTTCTTATAAGCAAGGATGTAAACATATTATTTACAAACTGAGATCCTCTTTCCTTGCTACCATGTAGCCGTAGCCACTAATATCAGTAACACTTCAGATGCTTTATGTTTAAGTATGGTTTCCTCAAGGTCTGAAATGTTTCTCGGCTGCAAGAGAAAAGTATTTTTTTTTTTTTGTTGCAGGAAGCTGTGTATTTCGTTTAACAGTTCATTTTATTACTACACATAAGCAAATTTCACGAACCATTCATTATGATGTCTTGCTCGAATTTGTTATGATGCAAAATGTCGTTGATAAACCAACACTACACATAATCCTGAACACACCATCACCACTGTGCATGATGTTGTTGGTGGTGGCAAAATGAAATCTAAGGGAAGATGGATGTAGCTAAATGTAGGACAAATGTCCCCTTTTTCTCTCATATGGCTAAATGAAATCAAGATATTTGCCTTCAGAAGTCTTCTAATCGGTGAATTGAATTAATGTGTTGCTTAAGCTCATTATTAATATGGCGTTGAGGCCCTTTGATGTTAAGGACAACTGGTGAACAAACTGTTAGTCACTGTTAGTCCATTATTTGTTGATGGGAAGCGTGTGGGACAACTGCAAACCAACCAAGCCATGGCCAGGAAACTGAACGAACTGACCAGGCAATGGGATCATTAATGGGAGAAGCAGCAAAGAGTTCAGTGATTGACAGCTTAAGAAGGAGAATCTCGAAAAAGTCAGCTTGTAGTCATGCATTTCAAGAATCTGGCCTTTATGGAAGAACAAGAATAAAAAAAAAACATTGTTTAAGGAAAACTCTAAGAAGTCATTTGTGCAGTTTGAGAAAAATCAAAGACATGTGCACATTAAACCTTTTCATGTATCAGAAAACTAATGTTTCACATCATCCAAAATGCACCATGCTGAAACATGGTGGTGGCAGCATTGTCATGTGTGGACGCTTCTGTAAGAATGGTGGCGTAGGTCTGACACAATAACAAATTTTGTTGGACGATAAATTATCCCAGTAGTTATTGCAATAAATGATAATTTTGTTGTTTTGAGACTATTTTCAAATAATATAGTGTTAATAGCATAATAATGCAAGAACACATAGATCAATAAACTTTAAATTCTAATAAACATTTTAACACTGGAACTGGAAGAGATTGTAAAAATTCAAATGAAATAACAGAAACAACAAATAAAATTCATTATAAAATCTCTGAACAAAATAGTTATTCAAAAAAGTGCTAGTTGAGATCAAAGCACCAGCCTGAAGACTTTTGCCATCCAGTTGTATTAATCTTCTTAGAAACCTACTTGGGAGATGGTTCTAAAAGTATTGATCCAGAATACAAATCCAATAATAACAGTATTGCATGCCATACTTTTCAGGATTTTTTTTTGTGTGCAAAATGTTTAAGTCATGCATGGTTTTTCTTCTATTTTGCAGTAATGTGTTGCTCTACATATATATATATATATATATAAAGTTTGTGAGAAATGTGAAATAATTTGAGGGACAAAGGAGTGTGCACACCAAGCCTAAGTTAGTAGTTCAAACTTGGCACAGGATGTGTAAACAGAATCACAGTCGATAACATTCTTTGGCTCTATGGCAGCGCAAACTCAAAAATCCCTTCCTGTGTACATACTCTACTAGCAGTATTTGTGTAAGTGGTCTGTTGCTTGGCCTGAAAAGATTCAGATTTGTAGTTATATATATATGTGTGTGTGTGTGTATGTGTGTGTTTCCCCTCAGGATGATGCGTCTGGCATGTTGCACAGTCCTGCTGTTTGTGTTGAGGCTGGTGGTGGGCCTGCCTTGGTACCAGGTTCTTCCAGCCATCCTGATCTTCTACCTTGGAAGTGGAGGATGGAGCTTTCTGGATATTGTTGCCAAAACAATTGGCAGAGATCTACAGTAAGCACAAAACATATATTTACATGTCAAATGCACTTCTTGAAATTTTACAACACAGAATTGGAATTTCTGCCACCGACCTTTAACAGCCCCTGTATAGGTAATAATCATTCACTGATTAGCTTTAACACATGTAAAATAATAAAACAACAGCTATATTTATGGGTATTTATGGCTTGCTTGTTTAAAATAGAGGAAAACGCTCTGATATAAAGTAACATCAATTTGATGTTAAAAGTCTTTGAAATGTTGTCTTGTCCATTCATAAAAATATTAGTTCTATATTCCATCTCTTTTGAAATTTTATGTCATAAAATCATACATTTTAATCTATCAGTAATGATTTATAGATATCAAGATGTCACATTAATTATTCAGATAACATAAACTTCTCATTTAATTTCTCTCTGTCAGGACATAATTGCAAAGTGTCGTTTTGATTATTGATTCCTTCACAGGGCCTTCCAAGAGTATTCACAGTCCTATATTTTATTTTTTCTTATAAATTGTCACCGGACAATTTCAGATTTCGCTCAACCCCCCTACTTAAATACTTTATAGTGCCACCTTTTGGGGGCACTTACAACTGGCCCCAAAAGGTACTTTTTTGCAAAATATCTCAACTTCTGCCAGATTGGATGAAAACCACTTGTAAACATCAGATTTCAAATCTTGTGATTGATTCTCAACCACAAATTAACTTTGACCTAAATAATTACTCTGCATGCACTTCCAAACCTCTACACATGAGCTTGGACTGCTTTACTTCTTCCTGCTTAATAATCTCACAGCTTTGATGCTACCACATTGTTTTGGTCTACTACATAAAGTCACAAGTTGTATTTTGCAAGTGACTGAAGCCCCAGTCACTTGCATTTCCTTGCACTTCATTTCCTTATTTAATACCAAGCCTAAAACATATCTTCAGGTCAGATTTTATTTGCAGAAATGTTGATGGGGCCACTTGATAGTATCCAAGGTGCTAGCTTGACGTATATTTCTGTGGAAAAAATGCCAAGGACGCAGCTAGACAGCGATTATTTAATGTGTGAACCTTGAGCTAATATTTACAGTTAAAGGTTACTATGGTAATGTGCTGTGGTTAACTTCCTTCCCCCCCCCCGCCCCTCCACCACTGGTAAAACGGGAAACTGTAAACAAAAACCTGTCCTTTTAAAAACCTCCTCAGAACAAATACAGTGGTCCATCTAGTAATGGTGCATATTTCTGATTAGTACGTGTAAAATAAGGACTCCATCTTTGTGAGTAAGAGATACATATCCTCCTTTTCATATACACATACCTACATCTTCTTTTGATAAAACAAGTAAGCTTTTTAGTTTTACTCACAGTATCCTATGAATAAAGGTTAAGAATTCAACAATTTCACCTTGGCTGTGGCTAACATTTCCACACTGGCTCATTGGGTGGTATTGTGTGATGTAGTTTGACAAGCCATTGGCATTTTGTTGGCATGTACACTTGTGACAAATAGTGGTAGCTTTGCATTAGCAGTAGAACATTTGCTCAAAAAGGTTACACTAAACGGCTTATTACTGCTTTCAGTTTTGTTCTGTTGCAATAGAGAGAACCCCAAAGGTGATGTGAGTGAAAATTAGACGTCTGAACTACAGTAAACTCCATTTATCTTGACAAGCATAAAACTAATCCCTTATGCAATGATAAGAATTTCAACAAGAACACAGTACAGCCATGAAATTACTTGGCTTGTTGGTTTTTATGAGGTTTCTGTAATTATTTACCTCACTCAGCCACGGCTTCTGCTTGTACCTCTGTGTGATAAATACAGAGAACTGATTGTTGCTGTTTAGTCAGACTTTGCCCCCTTGATATGCTTATTTCAATATTTTACTTCTGCTATGAATTGCATGTGTGTCGATAATGGATCCAGTTATATATGAACAATAACTTAAAGGTATATTTGTACCTTCTACGTATAACTAATATAAATGCATGTTTTGTAACGCTTCCCAGCAAATGAGGCATGCTTCATCAAACTGCCAGCCATTACTTGAAGGTTGTCCTTGAAAAGATCCATGTTGATCATGTAAAACTAAGCAAAGTTGGCATTTCTTGTTAAATATTACGTGTAGGTTAGGATTCTTTTGCAGAAGAAGCACTTTTATGTTTGTAAATAAAATCAGTTCTAGAGCTGTAACTCTAAGGTGTGTTGTATTTTTCTCCTAAAGCGCGGCCTACGTGCTACTGCGCGTGAAGCTCAATGTCAAGCGACACGTCAGAGAGAAGAACACTCTTCCTAAGATCTTTGCGGAAACTGTGCAGCGCCATGGCGACAAAACTGCTCTCATCTTTGAGGGGACCGGAGAGAGGTGGACTTTCCGACAGTTGGATGAATACTCCAACCGAGTGGCCAACCTGCTGCTGGGTCGTGGCTTTAAGGTGAAAAGCAAAACAAATAAAAACAAAAAAAAAGGATTGAATTAGAAATAATTTGTGAAACTTGTTTTCTCTTTTTTCATTTTTAAAAATGGATACAATTTTCAGATTGTTATTTGTAGGCAACATTTGACAGCCTTATAGGATTTCCTTCTCTCTTAGGTGTGCTACTTACTGTTTTTTTTTTTTTTTTTTTAAAATCGAATTAAAATGAATGGTTGAAAGGGGATAAAATGG